TACAAGGTTTCCAGTTGACTTCAGTTTGTCTGCAACTTTTGCTGTAATGCAATAACACTGATTTTGAGAATGAATAAATAATTCCCATTTAATATCTACTGAATAAATGATTTCTATTTAATATAAATGAGAAATAATTGAAGAAATGATATATTTGAAGAGGAATGATGCTTTATTGATGACTGTCTCTATTAAGAAGGATTACTAATCAGTAGCCAGTACTATGAAGAATCAGATTGCTGTGAAGATGAGCCATTAGGCAGACAGCTCATCATGTTCATATTTGTCTGTTTCATAGGCAGTAAGCTCCAAATCATTTTGTCCACGAAGACCTCTGAATACTCTCACATGAATATAAGGACCATTACCTACTCATATCTGAAAGGTATTAAAAGAAAGAAAAAGGAGATTTGTTCATTTGGATGTACATCAAGTGAAAGATCTACAGCTTGTACAGACTTCACTGCATAAGTCCTTCTGAGTCAGCACTTCCTAGGACTTAGTGACGACTCATTCTTGCAAACACCCACCATCTTTGTTTATGAAAGAAAGTGCAGGCTATGGCACGGCAAGAAGCATACGTTCCTAGAGCTTATCATTTTTACTATGATCTGGGCACAAATGACAAATCCAGAATCACATTTCATTTTCACAGAAGCCCAGAGCATAAACTGTTGATTAGCAGTCTATATTTTTTGGTGATTCTGTTTTCTAACATCCAAGTAGGAATAATCTATTTCCATACAGGGAGATAAGTTGAGAAGAAAATCAGAATTGCTTTTAGAAAATCTGGTTATGTTTCAAATCTACACTACATTGGAACCTACTTCACAAGTGCCCACTGAGCATGTGAGGACAGCAGGGCACGGTTGAGACCTGCCTCCCTGTAAAGGGTCTTGAGTCATTGTTACTTGAAGGAATAGTAGTTTGATCATGAATCCAGAACCTGGAAAAATCACTGAAAGGAAATTTCTGCTTGTCTTGGTGGACAATAAAGGCCTTGTTTCATGTGGTATTTATTGTTCTCTGTTGTCCCTTGAGTGTAACCAATGCTATTTATCAAAGTTTGCTATAATTCTATGATAGAAGGATATGTTTTATATGCACCAAGATACATTTATACACATGATTATATTGATTTCTTATTATAGGCCTAAAGAAAGATGAAACAATATCCATTTTAAATATTCAGAAGCAGTTCAATAAAGACTATGTAACTTTCCATAAATCTCTCAGCAGCTAAGCTTCAAACCAGATCTTTTAGATTCTGACATTCTGACATCCATATTTTATTTATTTATTTACTTATTTATTTAGAGACAGGCGCTTGATATGTAGCCTGGTCTAGCGTCCAGCTGCAATCATCCTTGTCTCAGTCTACCCAGTGCTGAGATTTCAGGTGTGTGGCATTGTGCCTGACTCAACATCTAAGCTCGTTGGATGTAGCTTTTGAAAGTACTTATTTGTACTTGGAGCAGGGCATCATCCATTAAAAACATCACTAGAAGCAGCACAGCCAGTGCTCTGGATCCAAATCCTGGGTCTTTTACAGTTGTGTGACCTTTGTTAGTTACTTCATCTTCCCAGGGCTCAATTTTCTCATTACTAACACAATAGAAGTGGCATGTGTTTATTTCATAAATTTTTGTGACTATTAAATGAGAAGGGATATGGCCAATTCTGAGAAGAGTCCCTGGCACATTCTAAGTGTTTAGTAGATTATTTTTCCCATTGTGCATGTTAGAGGATTAAGGCAGAGGAGGAGAACCTTTGAATACCCAGGTTTTTTCTAGTAGAATGAGCCAAACAAAACTTTAAACCTATGATGGTCAACACCAGAGCATATGGTCTTTCCTTTCTACTCAGACAATCTCTTGATAGGTACTCAGGACTCATAGGGAAAGACACATCACTGGTAAGACCTTAAATCTAGAGAAAGGCTCTGGCAAGGGTATCAACAGCTAGACTGCATGAAGTAAGGAGGCAACTATGGTCAGTGGCTGAAACCAAACTGGACATTGAAAGCAGAATAAAAGAGAATGGTGGGTACACAGAGAGGTCAAAGGAGTAAATTTTCAATTTCCTATGAGCTTTGTAAGAAATGTGTGAGGGAGTTAATATGTGAAATTTATGAATTTAGATTAATCATAAATTATTGAAATGACCCTAGCTTGATGGAATGTTTCCTATCTTTGAACAACATTATTTTTACTGGATAACCTTCTTTTCCATTTATGAAGAAAAACTGTGAAAGGAAATGATGCCATTGTCTTGTGAAGACACCTCAGGGTCTCATTGTGACTGCCCAGGCTCTGGGGCTCAAATTTCGTAATGCTGGGCTCATCCACCTACTTAATTCAGTGCTGTAACTCTCTCACACTGACCTGGCTATTATTTTATTTTATGCTGAATACATTTTAGAAATTTCTATCTTAATTATTTTTAAAAGAGAAATGAATCACATTGTTTCCCAGTCAAATGATTAATAAGACTAGGCAAATACACTCAATTATCTGTTATTTAACAAAAAAATCATAATGGTCATAATGGAAAGAGAAAGGCAGGGAGATGGAGGGAAGAGAAGGAACAAAAGAGAGAAAGAAAGAGAAGAGAAAGAAGGAAAAAAGAAAATAAAGACAGAATGAGAAAGAAAGACAGAAGGAAGGATGGAAGGAAAGAAAGAAAAAGAAGAAAATAGAAAGAAAGAAGGATAGAAAGAAAAAGTAGAAAGGAAGGAAGGAAAGGATGGAAGGATGGAAGGAAGTAAGTTAAGTTTTGGGCTGGAGTTATGGCTAAAGTGGTAGAGTATCTGCCTAGTAAGGGTGAGTCCCTGAGTACAAACCCCAGTAACACCACCAAAAAAATAAAAAAATAATAATGAAAGCTTGCTGAGTTACTAAGAAAAAAAAAAAACCCAGTATAACTATAACATCATTTGCCAAATTTGAGAGTCTAGCACTTGAAAGGTATCTTGCCAGCATCTTAATTTAGGACAACCAGAAGGAACAAAGCATATGGCATGGGAAAGAAGAAACATTACATCAAACGAGAAATAAATATATTTCAGTGCTACCCTTAATGTACAAATTAGTTCCAGCAACTACTTGACTTTTATACTGCACAGCTTTAAATTCTTGGTAAGTCTCATTTGTTTTTTCTTCAATCTCTGCTTTAATCTTGAAAAAAAAGAAAAGAAGAAACAAATTATTAAAGCTGTATTGTTGCACATGTGGAAATATTACAATGAAACCTTTTTGTAAAATAAATATACACTCTAATAATGTTAGTAGTAATTTTAAAAGCTATATTGGACTCTGATCCATAAATCTGTGAACATCATATTCCTAAAAGTTCTTGCAATGAGATCTAAGAACTATTTTCCCATAGAAAAGCCATATTTCAAGAGGAAACACGTATCTTTAAAAAGATGACATGGGGACTGGAGTGGTTCAAGCAGCAGAGCACCTGCCTAGCAAGTGTAAAGCCCTGAGTTCAAATCCCAGTACGACAAAAAAAGAAAAAAATGACATGGGTAAAACATCACATTGTGGTACTTTAGGATGAGTTAATGCCAAATCTTTGTGATACTATAGTACAGTCACATTTTGGTTGGTAACACTCAAATAGTTACATACACCTTTGATTAGAAAAATGCAGGAGAGCAACAGTTACTACTTAATTATTTAAATTTTTTTGAAATAAGTTAATACTTAAAGTTGCAAAAATACAGCCAGGTACCAGAGGCTCATGCCTGCAATGCTACCTTCTCAGGAGGCAGAGTACACAAGGATAAGAGTTCAGAGATAGCCCTGGGCAAACACCCTAGACCCTATCTGGAAAAAACCCATCACAAAAAAAGAGTTGGTGGAGTGACTCAAGCGGTAGGTTTTCCTGCCTAGCAAGCTTGAGGACCTGAGTTCAACTCCCTGTATTGCCAAAATGATAATAATCGTAATAATAACTGCCTCTAGGGGTTGCTTGTAGGGGCAGGATGGACCTAATTAACGTGAAAGTGCTTCCTAAACTGCACTTTCCTGAAACTCCATTTCCAACACTTAACTGGAAAATGTTCCCTAAGGCTGTCTCCTGCAAGAGAGACAGATAATAAGTGATAACTGGGAGTTTAACCCCAAACCATCACAAGCAATCTCCATTGTCCTTTCTGATGCCAAAACTATGATTATGAAAAAGTACTTAACTGGGTATTGTTTTATATTAGGTTCTAGATATCTTGACTTCCCCAACTACACTGTTAACTCCTCAAGCACAGAGACCATGTCTTATAGCCCTTAGGCAGCTTCTATAATATTTAGCACAATGCCAGACACCTAGGACATACTCAAGAAATGTACCTGCCATGACATGGTTCACGGAACCATTTTTTGACAGGGTCAAAAATCTGGAGGTAGGCCAATTTCTTAACTAGGTGACTCTTTACCACTTTGAGCCTTGATTTCATCATCTGAAAATTGGATAAAATGCCCTCCCAGCCTCCTAAATATCAAATAGGAGGTCAAATGGAGGTCAAGGCTTTGAGAACTGCAGAGCTCCTTTCTGTAGTGAGACAGCACTGTTAATGACTATTTCTTGTTCTATCTGTGTGACAAAGTCAGAGGCAAGCTGAGCAGCAAGAACACATTTTCAAATTAATGATATAATTTAAGACATGGCTCACAGCTGGGCACCAGTGGCTCACGCCTGTAATCCAGCAACTTGGGAGACAGAGATTAGAATTATTGTTCTTAGCCAAATAGTTGAGAGACCCCATCTTAAAAATACTCCCCACAAAAGAACGCTGGCAGAGTGGCTCAAGTGGTAGAGTGCCTGTCCGACAAGCATGAGGCCCTGAGTTAAAGCCTTGTACCACCAAAGAGAAAAAAGATACGGCTCACAGGTGGTGTTAATAAAAATGCAAGGCCTTCTGGTATTCTGGGTATGAGCTGTGGTGTGCACCTGTGGTCCCAGCTACTGGGGAGGCTGAGGCAGGGGTATCTTTTGAGCCCATGATTTAGAGACCAGCATGGCAACATCGTCAGGCCTTATTCCAAAAAAACCTATTGTATCTAACCAGGAGACAGGCCTTTAAAAAAAATCACTAAAATCTGCTGAACCTTCTTTATTGCAAATCTCTGCTGTTTCCTAGTTCCATAGAGATTCCCAGGGTTTTTTTGATTTCTTTTTTGATGTTCTTGTTTTGTTTTGTTTTAGTTTTGGGGTCAGGGGTGATTTCTGGCAAAAATTTGAATTAAATAATTATGATGCTTAACCTAATCAATTTTTTTCTGATCATTTTTATGCACGTTATTTCTGATAGTCTTTCCAGCTCTGAGACTGCTGGGGCAAGAATTGTTATTTTTTTTTTAACAAACGAATTGAGAACTTTTATTTGGCAGCCTATTATAAAAACCCCATTTGGGGGTGGGGGTGTTGTTCAAGCGTAGAGTACTTGGTAGGCCTTGGCTTAAATGCTTCTACTGCTAAATGAAAGAAAATAAAAGAAAAGGAAGGAAGGAAGGAAGAGAAAGAAAGAAAAGAAAGAAAGAAGGATATGAATGCTTATCTTTCCCAGGCCTCCCATGATATCATAAATTTCTGGTCTTGTGGGCAAATGAGGTCATGGGTAGGAGTGGCTGCAGCTAGGAGCCTGGTAGAAATACAGAATCCTAAGCCCATCCAACTCTCCTGAGTCACAATATGCATTGTATCAAGATTGGCAGGTGATGGTCTGGTGGAGTGGCTCAATTGGTAGAGTACCTGCCTAGTAAGCATGAGGTCACAGTACCACCAAAAAAAGAAAAAAGTTAAGTGACTCACAATCAAGCTTGATAACACCCATCTGACATGGGGATTTGAATGAAGGCATTAATGACTTAATGTTATCTTCTCCAAGAATATAAAGCTCAAATTAGCTATTAAAACCAAGCTAATTTCTGAAATATAAATATCTAGATCTAAAAGCTGTGTGGTAGGATTTCAGGTATCAGCCCCCCGAGAATAGTCAGTGCGCTAAACAAAAAGGGCTCCATCTCTTCCACCACAGCAAAAGTTGACCTGGGTTGCCAAACAGTGTCATAAAATAAAATTTGAGAGAATAAAAGCAAGAAAGAACAATATATAAAGAAAAGAAAGAAAGAATAATATATATATATAAATTACAAATCTACAACCATAATTTATATGTATTTTCCTTTTATAAATTAGACAATACATGGGCTGGGATGTAGCAGAGAGGTAGAGCACTTGCCTAGCATGGTACCATGAGTGAGTCCCTGGGTTTGATCCCCAGCACCAAAAAAAGAAAAGACATAAAATAAAATATGCAATATAGTAAATTTTCATTATACAGGTGATACCTAATCAAGCACTTTGAAAACTATCCCTTGCTAAGAACATGAGAGTTCTATTCTACTGTTATCAGTTTGGCAGCCTGTAACATCCCACAATCACCATAGGCTATATGACTTCTTTTCTTTACTAATTTAATCATTAACTACTAAATGACATTTAGGCAAATGTGAAGGAAATTTGTAATTGATCACCTTTACAATATTGTTCTGCATTCAACTCATGTAAAATCTGATTTATCAAGTTGTGAAAAATCTTAGACTTTCACTACATATTGGCTTCACTTAGTGAGACTGGGAAAACTCCATGAGTAACTGTATTAATACTCCTAGAATCACACATTTAAGTAAAAGCTTTAGAGATGATCCAATCCACATTCTTCTTAACAAATGGGGAAACTGAGGATCCATCAAGATATGTGACTTGGTCAAGGTCACTCTTTCAGTGTTGGGATTGTTTTGAGTTTTCTTCCGAAAGGATCAATATTCTGTTTTTAGCCCTTCAAAAATCTGAACAAAACCACATTTCCTAGTGCTCTGGTTTTCCTATTCACCCACACCCTTAACACAGCGCCAAACTATGAACTGAGATTTTGGATCAAACATTTTCCTGATATGCATCTATGCACTAACTCACCCTGTCAGCAATCTCCTGGATTTCTGGAGTGGCAGGTCTCGCCTCACTCAAGCCGTCACGTAACATCCTGGCTAGTTGTTTGGAACCAAAATGATCAGGTCAGCATGGAGAATCAGGTTTTAAAAGAGGTGTCCAAAAGCTCCACCTATTAATGTTCTATCTTCCTGAGAAAAGCAAAGAGGCACTGAAAAATGACATGTGCCCTGAGGCAAGCCTTCCTACTCTTGCAAAAGAATACATTGAATGAAATTGGAGAAGTTGAGGGGCCAGGGGTGACAAATGGCTGTGCACAGGAATCAGGCTGCAGTAAGCATCAGGGCACCTCCCTGTGTTCTCTGTGCCAATGGTTCCATTCTATTGTGTCATTTGAAATATAACCTGAGAAACCAGCTTCCAAATAATTTAAGCTTCAATCTCCAACATAAAATTTTATATTTTTAAAGGAATTCTTATTGATAATGCCAAGGTTGATTGCTTAGAATTGATTTGACTTTTAAAAGACATTAATAGGATCTATGTGGACAGCTTTGTTTGGATATGTGTACTTTACTTTTGACTTCCAGAAATGTTTAAAATACCGAAAAAGAGAAAGAATAAAATAACAAGCACGTATATTTCTGTCACTCAGAACTAAAAGTTTTGTCTTATTTGCTTCATGTCTTTTTTTGTAGTTGTTTTGAAGAAATGAAACATAACTATACAGAGGAGCCCACACCCCACCCACTCCAATCTTCCCCTCCACAGAGGTGAGTTATATTCTGAGTTTAGTATCTTTCTAGACTTAGTGTGTTTTCTAAATGTTACTTAAATTGTATGCTAACTGCACATGGAAACACTCACAAACATTTTAAGACATAGGCACTGGTGGCTTATGCCTGTAATCCCAGCAACTCTGGAGGCAGAGACATGAGGCTCATGCTTCAAATCCAGATGGGACAAATAGTTCATGAGACCTTATCTCAAAATGTATGATGTAAATGTTGAAAATGAACTGAGTTTATAGTATAAGGAATTCTTCACTCAATTTTTCAGCCATTTTTCTGTTAGAATGAAAGAGGTGCAGAATGGATAGGCAGGGAGATAGCTTAAATACTAGTGCAGGGTTTATTGTGGAGAAGTGGTCCTGTGGATGGGGATCCCAGTAAGAGAGTTGGAGCCCACAGCTGCTTACAGACTGGGGATAGATGGATGGTGGGTGGAGAAGTCCCAGGAAGTTCACTGGGCCAAATAATCCTCAATGTCCCTCTCATCCTTCTGAGATAATGGCTTAAGGGCAGATCTTTCCTTCCAGGACAGGTGGGAAGTTTCTAATAAATTGGTAAAGGTCTATGTTTACTTTTCTTTAAGGCCAGGTGGATTTTCCAGTAAGTCACCTTCAAGGGGGAGGGGGTCTGCTTTTGTTCACCCCAACATTCCTGCCTTTTGATATACATATAAGGGAATGGGGAATGATAAATGTTCCTCTATCTACTTGCTCTGATGGGGGCCTGGAGGTCTCTCAAGGGGAAAACATATCAACAGAGTCTTCTTGTTTTAGGCAACTGTAGTGGGCCTATTGGAGGAACCAACCTGTGTTGATCTGCCTGTGGGTATTGTCCTGGAGGAATGCCTGGAGTTTCTGTGAAACTCCAGGGGAAGGGTTTGAAGGAGGCAAGGTCACAATGAGGAAAAAAAATAAGGGGACCCAGCAGAGGGAGGACCCATGGCATCCACTTAGCTTAGGAAGACCACTGTTCCCAAAAGTCCATTGTTTCTTGCAGAGATTGGCAGCATGTTCCTGAAGTCTCTAAGTAGCATCACAAATGATCCTGGACATAAAAGCAGCATTGACATAAGAATAGCATTCTTTGGACAAAGTTTTGAGTGGCGACCTATGTAAAGGAATGTAGGCATTGGGAGATAAAGTGAGACATGCAGTTCAGAATGAGTTGGAAAACCAAGGGATCTTGGGGTGAAGACATTGGCTATAGGTTTACATAGACCAAAGAACTGGGGGCAGGGGACAGAGGTATGTGTAGAAAACAGTCCCAACCACAGGTGTGTCCTAGTTGGTCACTATCTCAGTTTTTATTTTGGGAGAGGTTCCAGCATTGTTATCTGGAACCATCCTTCAGTAAAAGCAGTTTAAGTTTAGGTCAAAAGTACTTGCTCTTAAGTTCTAAAACAAGAACCACCTTTTAAAAGTAGAATACAGAGTAAAAAAAGTCAGAATGCTCCTAATTAAATAGATGGGATAGGGGAAAATTAGTCCGTGAGCATGGACTAATGAAAAGATAGTTTAGAGCCAGCAAAAATTCAATAGAAGGCATTGGCCAAAAATATCAGTTTGCTTTTTGTCTGAGTTGCCTGCAAGGGCTTGGATATCCAGTAGCTATGTGTAAGATCACTTGTTTAAAAACTCCTGACTTTTGTGAGGTCTGGCATAGGTGACTCCACCTGGATTGTGATAGCTTTCCCCTCTTGTCTCTAAACTGTTTGTCTCTCAACAGTCTCCTCTGAATATTTTGGTAATGAACCATTCTGGTTAATGAAAGTCCCTCGTCGCCAGAAATAGCTTTTCCTGGATGTTTTTCAGATTCCAGGTTGGAGGAGCATTGGGCAGGTCAGGTGGGAATCCGTGCCAACAACGACTCATTTGGCCATATAATAAGCAATAAAAGAGGTTTAGATTCTCCTAGGCTAACCTGGCATCTACTTTTAGTTCTGTCTGGACTATAGATGATATCCTGACAAATTAAAAATGCTGCATAATGTTGACATGCAACAGTTAAAAGTTTTACAAGGAGAATACAAAAGCCAACAAAAGCAAATATCTAAAAGGCTGACTCAATTGAAAAATAGGTACTTGTTAGAGTCATATTTGGGGTTTGATTGCAAATGCTCCAGAGAAGGAGCAAGATTGCAAATGACAAGACTTACAATAGCCATGGTTAAAATGTTGAAAAGTTGTTTAGGAATTGTCAGAACATCTACTTATTTCCATTGCACACAGCATTTTAGGAAAATAATTATGACTAGCAGCATTAAAAGAACCACACTAAGTGCTCCTTCTTACAATTAGAGACATAAGAACACAACCCTGCAAGTCTAGCATTGTTAACTTTAGGTCTCTTGCAAGTTAGGGGGAGAACACCTGTGATCCCAAATAGCCTTGTTTTTCTCATGCACAAGTATATTTCATATATACAGTAACACTCATGTGGCTAAGACAAACATAGGCCAGGTTTTAAATGGCAGGATGGCCAAAATGGCAGGGTTTTTCTGAATGTTAGTGATTACAAACAGCAGAACTGTAAAAGTTTCATTAAGTATTTTGTATGCCAAAGGTTTAGATGTAATGTTTTTGGATAAGAGAGAGCTTTAGCTGGTCCTTTTACGTAAATTAAACTGACATATCTTTAATTCTGCAAATGTTTGTAGAATATTTGGATAATGTCTAGACACACGAACATAGGCGAGGCCCTCTACTCCTAAAACCTCTCAGAGGGTGGGGGTAGAGATTGTGGCTGGATCTGAAGAGGAGGGTAGAGGAAGGTACAGGGAATGGGATCGTATGGGGGTGGGGGTATTGGGAGAGATGGTGAGGAATGGGGATGGAGTGTAGGGGTGGAAGGGGTCTTGGCTGAAGGAGGGGCAGCAGGTTGAGGGGCTGGGTAAAGAAGAGCCTTCTCTTCAGGGGCAAAATCTGTGAAAGACTGCTTGGGAGAAGAATTGGTTAAGGGAGGTGACACTGCTTTTAAGGGTAAGGTAGACACAGTTTTGGAGGGTTTTTCATTTAGGAGGATCTGGAAGGAATTACAAGACTGACAGGGACGGTTTTGAGCAGAGATAAGCGAAAACATGTAAGTATGGGACCTTGGACCATCTGTCATTAGTGTTGGAGAAAATTTTTGAGATCACGCTGAATTTGGAAATCAAAAGTACCATGGGATTGGTACAATAACTTACATATATAGTATTAGGAGCAAGTAAAGGACAGGTAGTCAGGTGACTGACAAAGGTGTTTTGTGTAGGGGATCAGGAAGACAACTGTACTAGTGAGTAGAATGTGGACTTCAGAAGGAAGAGTGGGCTTAAGCAAGGAGGCCAATATTGAAAATAGAAAGATGTAATTGGGAAAAGAAGACAACCTCTTCCTGCCCAGCAAATGCTGGGGATCTTTGAAAAAGAATTTTCAAATGTTACAAGTACAATGTTGAAATCAAAAATCATGAGTCTTAGTAATTCAGTGACCTTATAGAAATTCAATTTTAATCATATTTCATAAAATGTCTAACAAAATAAAGAATGCCATACTGATCATCACTATATCAATAAAGATGAGGAAGGAGAGAAGGTTGGAAGATATTAACACACCAATGACCTCTGGGCACAAAGATGAAAAAGCAATACTATGTATATAGACTTCTTTCATTTGAATGTTGCCAAAAATAATTTAAATTATTGTCTTGTTATTTTACTAACAAGTGACAAGCATCTTTCCCAACAAACATTTACTGGTATGAAAAATAATGGCTTAGGGCAGAACCTTTTTGTATGACATAATTCATAATCTTTTTTTTTTCAGTCAGGATCTTGCTATGTAGCCCAAGTTGGCACCACACTGGAAATTACCAGTGTGTGCCACCGTGTCCTGTTCCTGATCTTTTTCTGAGAAGAAATTGGCTTTCTGGATTTTGTTGCAACAACTGCTTCTTTGGGAGTTGTCCTGAGCAGAATTCCTTTCACTTCCCTTCTCATGCCCTTCTGCCAGATCAATTCCCCACCCTAATTCCTAAAGTCTCTCCCTTTTGCACAGCATTCCAAATTCTAAAGAGAAGCTCCACCTAAATGATTAACATGCAAACTGACAAGCCATAGTTTTTAGGTTTACAGAACCAGAGCATTTGGGGACCTTCAGATAACATCACAATGTATAATGTCCCCCCCTTTTATTTTTAATCCTATGTAAAAACTAACACAAAGCATGTAAATTGCAGGAAAGTAGTATGTGTAAAAAGAACCACGGGAACTAAACCCAGGAGGCCAAGATCCTTTGCAATGTTCTGATGATCTGGGGAAGAAGG